TTTAAATCTTTGGTTTTTAACAATTTTTTCGACAGATCTCTTTAATTTCGTGTTCATTACTAACAAGATTTTCTAAATCTTCCAACAGAAAACCACCACCATCTTCTGCATTCAATAAATTTATAACATACTCATCATCTAACATTTTCAGAACTTATTTTTTGATCCTTCTATATAACTGCATTTCTTCATTTCATTGCAGCAAACCGCATTTACGCATTTTTACTGACTTCATAATATCAAAGCTTCCTAATCAGAGGTAATGTTTGACTATAAAGTATATTTTCCTGGGAAAAAATACAAAGATTATTATTTTTACTCTTGATAGACAAAAAAAATTGTTATGTTAACAAAAATCAACATTTCATCGACCATATTTTTATCTAATTATATTTTTAGAAATTTCTTAACAAATTATCTCAAATATTAACTAGGATTCGAATGTGAAATGATCTATGTTTTTAAAGAAATACAAATTTTATTATTTAAGTGTAGTAATAATTATATTAAATTCAATATTACAATAACGATATCACAGATTAGTTCTATTGACATTAGTTACATAACAGTCATCGATAATATTGATATATTTAATTGTTATCGCCGGTTTTCAATGAATACTACAGTTACATAAACAGTTTGTTTTCCTTTTATTAATCATTGTTTTTGTATGGTCTAAAGGCATGTTTATTACTGCCTCCATTAAGAAGATTAATTTATACGACTCTTCTAATTAAACGAGGAATTAAAGTTGTCGTAACATGGAGTGTGTTGCAATAATGACATATTTTTGACTGCAATACGAAATTGAAATTAATTGACAAAATAATAGTAAAACGTTATCTTGATCAGATTTTAGAAAAATATGTATTTGTTGTGTTATAAATGTAACGTAATATATTTTCAAAAATAATTATCATCAATATATATAGTAAGACCTCGATTACCGTTTAGCATGTGTTCTTAGACTATAAACGAAATCCCAACAACCATAATCCCGACAGTACCAATAACCATAATCCCAACTGTATCAAAATTCCGACAGTATCAAAATCCTGACTGTATCAAAATACAGACTGTATCAAAATCCCGACTGTATCCAAATCCCGACTATATCAAAATCCTGACTATAAGAAAATCCCGACTATATCAAAATCCCAACTGTATCAAAATCCTTACTGTATCGAAATCCCGACTATATCAAAATAACGACTGTCGGGATTTCGATATAGACCCACATATAGAAAATTTAGAGAATTTGAGGTTTCGAGCAGACCGCGTCATTATATTGAATTAGCGTTAATCGATGATTATTTTTGAAATACTTCAAATTCAATGCAATAAGTGTTTACCATTGTCCTTGGAATTGTTTTCAAATTTATTTTATATTCTAAGAAGCTCATGAATATCTATATTATAATAAGCAGTTAGTATTATATCTTTTCCAATATTCCTTAAACTGTGTCTCTGTATATGTATGTTTATAAACTTATATAAAATTATCTGATGTTACCATTCTATTTACAAAATATAAATGTTTTGAAGAATTGTTATATAACATCGAACGATTTTAGACAAATTTTGAAGAATTACATTACTGTTGTGCAACTAAAAACAAATGTCTTTTTAAATCTTTGGTTTTTAACATTTTTCGACAGATCTTTAATTTCGTCTTCATTGATGACAAGATTTTCTAAGTCTTGCAATGTAAAACCACCACCATCTTCTGGATTCTATAAATTTCTAACATGCTCTTCATCAACATTTTCAATTTATGTTCATTAAGTCAACATCCTTAGCTACAATTTAATTCTGTTTACACTGATTATAGGTTCTATATCCTTAGTCACATTATTAACACATAATAATCTAGATCAGTGTTTCTCAAACGTTCAAAAATTGTATCGCAAAATGACAGCTGTGTCATAGTGAGAAACTTAGGCTGCTGTACAATTACAAATAAATATGTTGTGTCACTTGTCAGAAGGTCTGAGACACGCAAATCTAACTTCTACTGTTTAAATGATTTTTCCATTTTAAATACTATTAAAGAGACTACAATTAAAACAAACAACTTATTTTTTTTTCAAACTGTTTTTAGTACGAGTCTAAAGTCAGCTCAGTTCAGTGGCTTTTCACCTCGTCTTCCGAGGATCTGAAGTTCTGTTTGCAATTTGCTTACGCGAAATATGAACATGTCATCACATTTCCATTCATTCGGTGCTGAGTAATACACTCGACGTTAAGAACATAACATATATAAAAAACGATTACAAACCTCTTTTTCAACAATGGTGTCATAACTAATATATCAACTTACGCTGCGGTTTGTCAATAAGTTATGTATTGTTTTTTATGTTGCTTGTTTTTTTAAACTTTAAAAAAATATAACTTCCATTTCCTGTTTCCAAACTTGCAAATTATACATTTAATACATAAATAATTTCAAGTTTCATTACGTCAGTTATAATTTATTTAGATTAATTTCTCATCAAATTATTATAAAACTGAATATTTCTATATACAATTAATTTTTTTTTAATATTTTTGTTATTAAACAATATTTAAACAAACTTTTAAGAAAAAACAGTATTTTATTATAACAATATCAATAGAAATTGCTTAAAATATAACATTAAAAATATGTTTTATTACAAGTACTTTTCAAGTTACGAATTTCACATCTCTCGAATTACGAATTCCAGCTGCTTGCTCCTGACTCACTAGAAACAGTTTGAATATAATTAATCACTAATTACTACAAATTATTTTCACTATACCAATTATTATTTCGACTTACGAATTCTTACTTTACTAGTGAACAATCTATCATGTATTATATGTATTTTATCATCTCGTTTTATTTATAATAATTATACAACATAATACTAGTTAAACCAAAAGTAATTGGAAGTAAATGATAACATCCGCAAAAAAACAACTTTTATTTTTCAAACCATTAATTTTTATTTTCCAGTTGTTTTTTTCGAGATTCGATCGTGCTGCCACATTTAAGTGTACACTATTATTAATCCAATAACAGTAAATCGCGTAACGTTCATGAAAGCATTTCATTAATCAAAAACAAATGAAATGGTCGTGACCTTCCGATGTTGTCAGTCCCAGATACTTGCCGTAATTTCATCATTTACTCTAACGTAACTACGATGAAATTCAATGAATTTATTACAGCTTATTAAGCACGTTAATTGATTACATTTCAAGTACCCGTCAATGACAAATGTGCTTCAAATAAATCATAAATCAATCACTTTAAAATAAATCTTCCTTGTTCGAAGGAAAGACCTTGAAAATATTTAAAATTAAACAAAAATCTAACACTTGAAAAAAAGTAAACATACTTGTTTTATATCTTCCTTCTTGGACAAGAAGCAAGAATTTTAATTAATGTTAACAAAAAAATACAGCAATTAATTAAATAAATCTTAAATTACTAAATTAATTCGTTAAGTGAAACTTTGTTTTCAGAGATAAAAATACTATGGCCATAATGGGGATTCTTTTCTTTCAACAAAGAAAAATTGTAATATCTTCTCCAACATTTTCGAAACTAATTGATTGAACCATCTGGATAACTTGATTTCTAATTTATTTCATGTTATTTTCTTCTTGTAGTACAACTTCTGACCATAATTATATATGAAATTGCGGACTTCGTTATATCGAAGCTTCGTTATCAGAGGTAACGTTAACTGAGGTATGACTATATAAAATTATATAAGCAAAATTTAAATCAATTCCCTCGTTTAATATTAATAAACAAGAAGTAACTAATTTTTCTGTTCTAAATTAATTAAAATCTATTTAATAACTTATAAGTCAATTGTCTATTATAATGTAATACATTAAAAATTAATAAACTACTTAATTTAATTGATTTAATTAAACTGATTACAACATTGCTAAAAATGTTACTTTTTTAAATTAATCAATACAATAAGAAAAAATAATGTTTAATTAAATTTATTTTTTAATTTTAATATAAAATTTAGGATAATAGTAAACTTTCATAATAAATCTATTTTTGAAACTATTGTTTGATTAAGATTATATTTAGAAAAAATTATTTTTTTATTAACAAAAAAATAGGTGCATTGTTTCAAATGAAATATATATTTTATTCACTCAATTTTTTACTACAGAAACAACAATAGTGTGAGATTTTTTCAATTAATTACATTTTTAATTAGTTATATTATTATTGTTTGAAAAGTAATCGAATTTAAGTTTTTTTTTTCTTTCGATTTTAATTAATTCCTTCATGATTTGTTTCATTACTTTCTTCACAAGGATAAATGATATGTATAAATCATTTGAAACATTCTCTGTTTACCTTTACAGTATCATGTATACTATTATATAACCAGCAAGGTATGAAACTGATTTGAATAAATGTATAAAATTGCTGGGAATTTATTTGAATGTTTAACTGTCAGTCACTTAACTGAAGATAATAATGTATGAAGTTAAAATGTTGTGTCGAAAATGACAGTTCACTTCCTGCAGAGAAACTGTT